GAAAAATTTAAAAAAGTTATCTTGGGCGCAATAACAATAGTCTAATCTTTTATTTTGATCACCTTCTTTCAATGTATGCAAGAACTTTGGTTTATAGGGCTTGATCTTTGACGAACGAAACATTTTCTAATTTTATCCTTGCTAATATTTATTTGAGATGATAAATCTCGAAGGTTCATGCATGAATTTGCACGATTTTCTGCCAATATACCAGTATCCTCGAGATGCTGGTGTATTCGACGAGGTTGACCATTTCGATGGATTTTAATAACACTGCCAGTTTCATTAAAAAGAGCATTTACAATGGCTGCTTTTCCATGAGTAATGGGAGTATGTTGGGGATGTCTTAAGTTAAACTCTGCAGAGTTTAACCTAAGACATCCCCAACTGCATGCAGCAACTTCTCTGCTACTATAAGCATGATCACCGGATCAACCGGATTATTTAGATTTTTTCTCTTAAAGACGGCATTTCAATTCTGTGATCACTGATTAAAAATTAAAGCAATAAACTGAAATTTAACACTTTAGTTAGTGACATTTAACACTTGAGTTAGTGTCAAATTATTACTTTCCATGGCTCCCTTATTATCAAACTAAAAAATGAACGTAATATTTATGTGTAGACCAAAATAAAAAAAAATAAAAAATGCGTATGCGTTATGAAAATCGGTAAACGGGGATAGAATAATATTCTGAACAACTTTTTCTAATAATCTTTAACGCGACGCTAAATATCGACATTTGTCCCCGTTTGTGAATTCGTAGTAGGCTGAGTTTAAAGTTCAGATTTCAGTTGAGTATCTTAAAAAATGTGACCCATCAATATGTATTACTGTGCAAAAATTCAAATCTGTATAGGAAAAATATGGATGTGTATTATTGGAGCTACATAGTATGTTAAATTAGCAAAATTGGTTGCATTTATTCTTCAGATTAAAATGATAAAAACAGAAGGTATTTTTGTATTGATGTTTTCCGGGATCTCCTCTGTGTTGTCGGTTTTTGGTTCTTAAAAGAACCGTATGTCTGACGACGTTTCGGTACAATCTTATGTACCATCTTCAGGTTTATCTGCTGGGCTGTTGTTGCTGCTCTGCTCTGCTCAGTTGCAATGGCAGTTTTCGATTAATCAGTATCACTGAATACGAAACGATGCATGGTAACGGAATCAAACCAATCAAAATGCCTTAAAAATCGTAAAAAATCACAAATTTGTAAATGATGTTGCGGAAAGGGGGGTTCATTTATTTACTGAGTTTAATCAATTAATAACGAAAGATGAAGACCAAAAACAGTGTGCGAAGAATACCGTAAATCCTTCGCAGGTACAAATAAAGAAACAATATTAAAACCATTTTAATTTTTTAAATACAGAGTAACCAAAATTAAGTAAGCATTTTTATTCTGAATTTTGATATTTTAAATATCTTTTTCTACTTCCACCTTTAAAGCGCCCTTTATAGAACATGTTTCCATGACAATAAGTGACCTTTTAAATACACATTGACAAGTTGTGGCTTTACGGCGCTTTAGTCACGGGCTGAAGTTAGTTTTAAGTTAGTTGAAAGTGAAAAGTGAAAATTATTTTATTATCTCAATACAAAACTACAAAAATATTAAATAGTTTCTCAACGCCAATATTTGAAAAGTTTATATGAACATTGTACTGACCTTTTAATTTCGCCGGTTTTCCACAGGGGTAATCTAGGATAGACCTATAGGGCTGAAATTTGGCACACATTTTGTTTTCCTATTTTGAGTCAATTTAAGGGGCGGTCCGGATAATTAATACTATAATAAACTTTTTATTGGAGAAAAATATAGCAACTTTATTTTAAAATTCACAATTCTTATTAATGTTGTAAAAAATATAATTTATAATAATATTTTGTGTAATATTCTTTTTGTTTCACTACTTCTGCAGATCATCTTGGCATGGTCTCGATTAATTTACAAATACAGTTCATTTCTATGCCCGTCCAACAAACATTCCTTTATTTATTAGTTTAATCTTTTTAAGTATAGCTTCTATGACTTTTTCTCTGCATGACCCGAATTTCCTGTTCAGACAGTATGGTGGCACGTAGATTCGAGGTAGAAAGAGCAATTGTTTGCCAGTGATGCTTTTAACTTTTAAAGTAACCCCCCTTCTATTGTTTCATTTAAAACCCCTCCAACCCCCAAAATTATATAGTAATTTTACGTTTCTTCGTCATGGAGTAACAGTTTATTCTTCTTTATTATTTTATATTTGTATAAAATACTTGGAGGTTTATTCTTTTTAAAATATGCATGAATTTATTTGCAAAAAAAAATATTTCATTGGGGTTTCTGTATCGGCATGTAACTTGATTTTAGGAACACCGGATTTAAGTGTTAAATTCATTTAATACCATGCTCCCTATTTGTTATATCGGTTGCCTAGTCTGAGGTTTTAGTGGGGGAATTCAATTTAAATGGTATGGTATACTGGGACACTTAGTCGGGGATCAGGTATTAGGGTCATGCAGAGGAAAATTTAATAATTTTTCCACTTATTTAAAAAAACACCCTTGTTAAACTTTGTACAGGTTTAGTTATCTTAAAAAAAATATGAGCAAAATCGAAATGGAATTAATTTAGTTCATTAAAAAAAAATTTTGAGCAGAGAAATATATCTTTGTTAATTTTTTTAAGTCAATTACCTAATTGCCGAAATTTCTCTTTCGAAGTTACATACCATTGCATGAAAAATCGCTTTTTCGAACTACCGTAATTTCTCAAATTTTGCAAAAAGAACCAAAATAAAGGCCTTTTTATTTATCACCATCAACAAACTCCCAGAGTTTGATCAAAATCTGAAGTGTTAACCTCTGGCTGAGAAACAAAATAAATGCCATTTTATACTGGTATTATAGATTGCAGTAGACTTTTAAAATAATTCAGGGAATAACCCTTAGGTTGTTTTAATATTTCTTCTATTACCTGCTTTAGAGAAAATTGTTATCTGGTAACAGCTATTGTTTTATTATGTTGATATTAAAACATAATTTTCATGTCACAAAATTAACAGCGATTAATTTTTAATAATGATTAATAACCGTTATAATAACTAAATTGCAACAATAAAGCTCCAATTTACCTTCGTTTTTGTTTAAGACAAGGTCTAATTCGAGAGTAATCGCCCTCATTATGGCGGATCGGAATATGTATTCGTGTTTGTATATAATCCGGGAGCAGTTCCGGAGTAATTTATGAGCAACTTAAACTGTTAATTTGGCCAATACAAGCCCTAATTAGGGTTAATCTATGTAGAGGTGGTCATATTCCCATTGTGTTACACGTGTGACGAAACTTAACCAGTAATGTTTGTAATTTAACTGTTAATAAACCAATTAAAATGTCGTTTGTTATTAGCATATCAACAACTATTAAAGATTTAATACCTATAAACCATTACATATTATTAAATTTACAATGTATCACAAGTAATTTTTGTCCATAAAATAGTTATTTTTGATGTTAGATTGGGAAATGCAAATTTTGCATTCGTAAAGTTTTTTTTTGTACGCGGCAGCGAGCAAAAAAATCGTTCGTAAACTGTATACCACAGATTATAAATTACTAAAAACGTGAAGAGAAAATTTGGAAACGGATTTAAAAGTGATAGGTATACCTAGTATACTTTTTTCCGGATATAAGTAATTCTGGTAGAGTAAGAGAAAACTCAGATATATCCGATTGGAAAAAGAATATTCAAAATAACCAGTAAAAAACCCTTTGAAACAACTTAAGTTTGTAATTTTTTAAACACAATTTTTGACAGATGGCAATTTGATTACTTTAAGGGTTTCCATAGCAACGCAGGTCCAACTATGTCCGTTATTATCGTAACCAGAATACAGTGTATGTTACAAAAGAGTGGTTTTGAGGTGAAGCCGGAAAATGTTAAAAATATAGGGAAAAAAACATGGCGCAATTTGTTGTGTTGTTGGGTGTTTTCGAGAGGAAATTCTGTTTTGAGTTTTTATCGGTTTCCCAATAAACAGTGGAAATCCGAATGAAAAAATAAATTGCATACAGTCCCTGTAAATATAAATTGTACCTATTAGATACAATATTATTGAATAAATACAAATTTTAGTAATGATTTACCTGAAAATTGTACACAAAATTTAAATTCAGTCGTCTTAATTTAAGCAGCATTTAGCATTATTACAAGCGTTGATTAAGTCTCCACTACACTGAAAGAAATACTAGGGTTAATAATTAATAAATATTTATTTCAGATGTTTTTATTTATAATAAATACAAAAAATTTGTGTCAAATAAACTAATTTATTAATTTAATGTAATTATACCTACATTATATTCGTATTTAGTTCACAGTTTATTAATAATAAATATTGCTTATTAATAGTTGCCAAATTTTCGTAAATAATGATTATTATAAATAAGGCACATTTACTATAAAATCTATGTTGTTTGTAAGAAATATGATATATTAATAATTAACAAATGGAATATTGCAACGCCTCGTTTTACCTCGGACCATTATCTCGACTTTAAAATGCCACGTAGTGGGTGGTTTACATCTTGGCTGATAAGGGTTGTGCTGGTTACTACTTATTAAAATGGTATATTTATAAAACCAAATAATTTATTAGTATTACTTATTTATTATAAATAATAAATAAGTAATACTAATAAAATATAGGAACGATTAATTGTAGCACCCGGACAATACCATGTTGCCAAATGTACAACTTATTTGACGACTCCTAATGGCGGGATATTTAAATGTGGCCTTCGGCTCGTGTGACAGACTTTTCACTGAGCAGAATATATACCTACTATTCCATGGTAGTAATGAGCTATTGTTTAGAACAGACAAGGTTTTGTTATTGTTATTATAGAGGGGTTTTCATTCTTTTAAGTATTTTTATTTCTGTAGTACTAAGCTGTTGTTTGGAACTGACCTTGCAAGGTTTTGGTGTTTGATTTTTAATCTGTGTTTTTATTGTTTTAAGTATTTTTATAAGTTTTAAGTGTTGTATATTTTTATGTTTATAAATTGTTAATAACAATTTGTTATGGCTTCAACAAACTTTAAGTGTGATATTTGTCAAAAGTGTTTTGCTTCCAATGGGAATTTAAGAAGGCACAATAAGACACATGAAAATGATATCGTTGAGTCAAAAGGTAAACTATTAAAACCATGATACATTTATCATTACTATTATTGGCAAGTATTATTTATTGGACAACAAAAGTATATACCCTACAGCACAGAACATGTTCTATACCTATAGGTAGCTACCATTTATACATTTTTAGAATTTTTGATTTGGCTTCAACAAGAAGAAAAGGAAAATAACATCAGATTCATTAAACAACGGGGTGTCAAAAGATGTAAAAATGGCAATGAAACGTAGGTACACCTTAATGTGTTGCAGAACAGGTAGAATTTTTCACATAAGTATGTGGTTATGAATAATTTTATATATCATACAATTTTATAGGTAAACAGAGAATAGTTTCTGAGGAAAAAAGGCAGCGTTCTCAAAAAAGCCAGGGTTCATCAAAATGTGACTGTACATGCCAAATAGCTGAAAAAATTGAAAATTCCTCAAAAAAATGTTACATTCAATACACGTCTACCCACTATGGCCATAATAATGAGATACAGCATCTCAGAATATCCAAACAGTGCCGGAAAGAAGTCGCGCAAAAATTATTAATAGGTGTTTCTACCACTCGGTAAGTTAAAATATATATATCGCCTGTTTAGTGTTACAAGTTCCTCATTGAGTTTTGAGTTTAACTTATACCACTATTTCTCATAGTAAAGCGCACTATTTAGAGTTGGTTTTAGGGCAAAACTAAAAAATGGCAATTATTGTCTTGTGATGGTCTTCTTCCAAACCGACGATATTTAACTTTAACAGTTTTTATTATAGATTTTATACATATCTGAGTACCTAGGTAGTGTACGGTGCACTACTGCATTCATAAAAGCACCTGTGGGGCTTATGTTCTGTGCTGTAGGGTATATACTTTTGTTGTCCAATAAATAATACTTGCCAATAATAGTAATGATAAATGTATCATGGTTTTAATAGTTTACCTTTTGACTCAACGATATCATTTTCATGTGTCTTATTGTGCCTTCTTAAATTCCCATTGGAAGCAAAACACTTTTGACAAATATCACACTTAAAGTTTGTTGAAGCCATAACAAATTGTTATTAACAATTTATAAACATAAAAATATACAACACTTAAAACTTATAAAAATACTTAAAACAATAAAAACACAGATTAAAAATCAAACACCAAAACCTTGCAAGGTCAGTTCCAAACAACAGCTTAGTACTACAGAAATAAAAATACTTAAAAGAATGAAAACCCCTCTATAATAACAATAACAAAACCTTGTCTGTTCTAAACAATAGCTCATTACTACCATGGAATAGTAGGTATATATTCTGCTCAGTGAAAAGTCTGTCACACGAGCCGAAGGCCACATTTAAATATCCCGCCATTAGGAGTCGTCAAATAAGTTGTACATTTGGCAACATGGTATTGTCCGGGTGCTACAATTAATCGTTCCTTAAAATATTTGGTTTTTAAAAATAAATGTTTATTCCGCCATTATCGAATAAGTCCTTTATTTATTGTTAAACAACATCATTAATTGTAAATAAAGTGTTGCTTCAGTGTAAACAGTAAAATACCACGAACCGGTAATATATTAGGTACCTATTATTTATAATATTATGTTGCCATGAATTCATAGGTACAGTACAACTGCAGTTGTCGGTGTTTTTTTAGAGTACTTAAATATAAATTTTTTTTATTTTAAGGTTATGTTTGTGCAACAATTATTTTTTGTAAGATTCCTTAAAAATGTTCAATCTTAAATATAAATAATATTAGGTACACCTTTATATTTTATAAAGTTATTATTAGTTTATTCTGCAATAACAAACATACGTACTGCAACTTAAAACAGGACCTCATTAATAATAATATTAATACTCGTATAATATTTTTTTTACCAAACTGTGTATATATAAATAATTTTAATAAATTTTGATTTATTAATGGTTAATTTTAAAATATATGGGGGTTTTATTGAATTTTTTTAAAAATTTATGACCTTTGTAAAGCTTTACAAATTCATTTTGGTAAATTCGCAATTCGTACGTTTTTCCCTTAATAACCCTTACGGTGAATAAAAATTTAAAATTCACCCCGAAGGACCATTAGAGCATCCAGAGAGAGCTTGGATTACTTTGGACAGTGCCAGTACATAAAATTTGATGGGCAGTTTACATGAAACAGACCGTGATGCTTTTGTCGCAGAGAAAACAAAAGCATTCCGACAAATCTAATAGTTTTACTTTGGCGGACGTTATGGTATTTCGAACACAAAGACGCCCGTTCAATTTCGTTGTTTCCGCTAAGTGTAGAAAATAGCTACTGTCCACTGTAATGACAAAATTAACTAACGCCGATAGAAATTTTATTAAACCATGTTAGACCCTTTTTAGAACTCTTTTAGAAATTCGTTTGCGGCTAGAAAAAAAGGAAAAAATCATCATTAAAATTTGATGCCGAATGGTATAAATATTAGTAGGTTTTGGTTTAATCATGACGGACATACTTCAAGTAAAACCATTCCTGTTAAGGAGAATATTTTAAGGTTTCGTAATTTTGCGTGGCGGTGATGTTAGCTGGCCACCCAGGTCCTATTTAATAAACCACCTAAGAGGTGCTGTTAGCAAATAGTTAAGGCTGTTTGTCTTACATTAATTATGAATTGCTACGTTTTGTACCTGTCGACTGTTCAGTATCACCACCAATCGTAGTGATTAATATAATAATTAATATTATTATAATAATAATAATTATAATTATTATAAATTAATTATATATTTTAATATATACATATATACATATATATATATATATATATATATATATAATTATATATTTTAATATATACATATATATGTATATATATATATATATATATATATATTAATCAATTATTTATTACTAAGAACGGATTAGTCCAATATCGTCAAAATTTAGATATTAGCACCAACTGTTTCCTAACCTCCATATATACGTATACAAATAAGTGTTTCTCTTAAAAATGTCATAGGTTCCATAATAATTAAATATGAAATTTAGCTTGTTCGTCTAAAAACATCACAAGTCCACTCCGTTTCGTCTAAGAAAGTCACATGTGCATAACATCCCTATTGAAAATGCCATATAGAACCCATATTGAATCCGATAAGGAAACGTATCTGGTTCTATATGGTTTTATAGGTCCTATATGGAAAGTCCTGGTTTACATTACGGATTCTATATGGTTGAATATGGATTTCCATTTTAAAAATTTTCATATTCAACCTGGTTCTATAGTGTTTTAGAGTGTTTTTATCTGGTTCTATAATGTAATCTTCTATCTGGTTCTATAGTGAAATGCCTGTTTCAAATACCTATATTGAACCAGATAGAAACCATATATGGTTCTATATGGCATTTTCAATAGGGATGTGACGTTTTTGGACACTCTAGAAAAGCTTCTACCTCTTCTACATGACCACAGCAATAGAAAATTGTATGATAACTTGATAAAAGACCAGAAGACCATAGCACATGACAGTCCTGATAACACGGTCGACAACGATGATAAGTTATCATCGTTGTCGACCGTGTTATCATTGATAACAGCAGTGTATGCGAATACTGAGTGTGGCCATCATACAGTTTTTAGTTTTTTCATTTATTTTGTTGCTCAGAGTTAATATTTAGTTTGTAGTGTTTGTAGTAAGGAGAATTGTTCGTTTTTTTCTTTTAAAAACCTCACATGTTCATGTATTTTTTGTTTTTTTTTCATATTCGTTTGAAAAAAAAACATGAGGAATTCTGGACAAAGTATCTTACTTTTTTTTACATGTAGTAAATAGGTCAATAAAGTACTTTGGTCAAAAATGGGAATGTCGGAGAGTTTTTTTCATTTTCCCAAATATGTTAATTTTGGACTAATGATGTTTTTCCGAGAAACGCGTCAATTATATTGATAAAATTATAAATAATTACTATAACATATTATATGAAAAGAAAACGCGAAATTTAATACTAATAAAATACAAAAAAAATATATTATTTAAGGTTAGGTAAATGTCCCCCTTCATGTAAAAGTCTTCCTTAAAATAGGAGTTAAAACTTTTTTGTTTAATTTTTAATACATCTATAAGGTGTTATCACTACTTTTTAAAACCTCTACAAGAAGTAAACGTTTAAGGGGGACTTTCCACATGACAGATTATAAGTCTTTGTTTACGTTGAAGGCTGGTCATTGAACAGCCTTTAGGGTGAACCGAAATAGATTATGGTAACCATTATGCCTATAATTATTGGCTGAGCGAAATACATGATGGTAAAAATGTATTATGCAAATATTTGGAAAAGTGGTCTAATATTACTAAAATATTATTTTGATCAGACAATGTTTAGAGGGGACCCTCTTTAAAGTACAGATATTTTTTTTTCAATATAAGCATATTAAATGTTGCCCTGTTCATTATAATCTCTCCATCACTCCCTTGTTAGAACTAGTTATTTGTTGTGGTTTATTTATAATTTGGGTTGTTCTACTGGCTCCCCGATATTGCCAGTCTCCGTGTGAAAAAAAATATGTAGTTTACTTGCCCTTTTACTTGTATGGGCCCTTCAGTCAGTAAAAGTCTGTATAGGGCCGGATTTAGCATGGGGCCAGCGGGGCCACGGCCCCCACCATTTAGGGGCCCCCACCAATGCAATATGTAGCTTTTTACACTGTTCAAAATTTCATGACCAATTTAACACCAAATTAACACCATACGTGGTCTATATCGATACAAACCAAAATGGTGTTAAATAAGGTTCGTTGGTCCGGTGTCAATTCAAATACTAAAATGGTGTTAAATAAGGTTCGTTGGTCCGGTGTAAATACAAATACTAAAATGGTGTTAATTTAACTTTCACACAGTATTAAAATAAATTTTACCTGGTGTAAATTGAACTCCTTTTCAGTGTTAAATATTATGTGTTTGTGGTCAAATTATCATACCACACAGAAAAAAGGAAAAAAAAAGGAACAGGAAGTTCCTTGATGCATTACTAGTATATTACCAGTGGTATTATTCCAGAAAATGAAACCTTCAACTCGCTAGAGATAATGTTTTTAGTGCGTGCCACTAACTTAAAATACTTCAAGTATTGACAGCTCTTTCCACCTATTTAAGGTCTCTTTAGTATCGAACAACTTGTAGTGTCACACCAAAGCAAAGGACTAGTTTATATATTCTTCATGTAAGTCAACAGAGGCGAGATTTAAGAACATCACGTGATCCACAAAAATATAAATACTTATGGGTCAACTGGGTTAAATGAACTATTCCTTTTTTTCTGGGTGGGTGCACTTCTCAAATATTTTTAGATAAACACCGTTTTGGTGTTCATTTTCAACCCTAATTCATGGTGTTATATTAACACCACTTGGTGTTGGATTTTGACACCATTTTAGGATTACTCTTTACACCGTAGATATTTTAAACAGTGTAATGAAACGAATATAAAAAAAATTGGCGAAAAAACAAAAAATTTCGTCGGTTGTACCGCTTGAATCCTATAATTTTCAATTAATTTTTCGTAGATCTAACTAATTTTTTGCGGATTTTTTATCGCTTATCCGCTTGCAAA